AGGTAGGTAGTACTCACCAAGTAAAGTAGTGTAGTAGTATTTACTAGAATTTTGTTTATTATTTGTTTAAAAATCAATGTGAGTGAGATACAGGCCCTTAAAGTTTTCTTAATCGGAGGAAATTCCGGTAGGTACGGCCCTGGCTTCAGCCTTCCGTCTGCTGTTCCCGCCAAACATCGTTTATCCTAAAACATATCTTCCTAACATTATTCTAATGTATCAGCCCGCCTTCGGCGGGCAGGGGCATTAAACAAACTCGAGTCTGTCATACATCTACCGTACTAAACAATGACGTCATCAATGCATATTTGGCGTGAACAGCTGACGAAGGGCTGCAGCCAGGGCCGTACCAATCGAAATTTCTTCCGATTAAATAACTTAGGAGCCTGTATCTCAAGCTACATTGGTTTCCGCACGGAATTAATGCTACCACGCGATTCTACTTGGTGAGTACTACCTACCTGACTAAACTTCATGTGTCAATTCCAATGTCAACTAATGTAAAAAATGACCGCAATAATAAGTATATGTACTTTACACATTTACTTTTATTAACTTTTTGAAGACCTAACCTCGCTTTTTTATTTCTTAATATAACATTTGTAATAGTGTATCTTGTAAATATTAATAATTTAACTGCATTGTAGTTTCTAGTATAAACTTTAGTGTACCAAGTTATTTTTGTATAATTTAACCACTGGTGCCACCAAAAATGAATACAGTGTTTGGTGTGTATAGAAGATATTCTCATTCTTGGATTAAGCCAATAGGACAGGACACCGGTATACAAATCTACAACTGCATTGCCAAAAAAAAGGTTCCATTTATTACTAGAAATAAGGAATTCTTAACCTGGTACACATGTGGTCCTACAGTTTATGATTCCTCACATATTGGACATGCCAGCTGCTATGTTAAACTAGACATAATCCAAAGAATATTGAGACGGTATTATAATTTAAATCTTATAACAGTAATGAATGTCACGGATATTGATGATAAAATTATAAGAAGAAGCAAAGAGCTTAAACAATCTCCAACAGAAGTTTCCAGGAAGTATGAAAAGGAATTTCTGAATGACCTAAAAATTCTAGGAATACAAATGCCAGATATTATGGTCAGGGTAACTGATAAAATTGATTTAATAGTTAGATTTATTGAGAAACTATTAAATGATGGCTATGCCTATAGATCAAATGATGGTTCAGTATATTTTGATACATCAAAACTGAACTGTTATGGAAAACTACAAAATATTAGCAAAGACTCTCATGAAGAAAGTTTTAAGAAATCAAGTGCAGATTTTGCACTTTGGAAAAGTGCAAAACCAGGTGAACCATATTGGGAAACAAAATGGGGCCCTGGACGACCTGGCTGGCATATTGAATGCTCTGCTCTTGCAAGCTTCTTTTTAGGTATTTTTTCTTATTTCATATTTATAATATCGGTTTAAATCCAAAATTATGCATACTTCAATTTCCTGATTTTTTTATTTTCTGATAGGCGATGAATTGGATGTTCATGCTGGAGGAATTGATTTACAATTTCCCCATCATGAAAATGAGGAGGCTCAATCTTGTGCTTATTTTACAAAGCAACAGTGGGTCAACTATTGGATTCATACAGGACATCTTCACTATGGAGACGCCCAAAAAATGTCAAAATCTTTAAAAAATACAATAACAATTACTGAAATGCTGGAGATTTGCAGCTCTAATGACTTTAGAATGGCATGTCTCATGTCTCATTACTCAAAAAACATGGAATTCAGTACCGAATTGATTAAAACAGCCAAAGGAGTAATAGACCACTATAAAAATTTTCTATCTCATTGTTCAGCATACACAGATTGTACCCTTAATGTGAAATTAAACCAAAATGTTTTGAAAGAGAATTTAGCAAATGTAGAAAAGGAAATTGGCTGTGCTTTATCAGATGATTTTGATACAGCTAGAGCACTGAAAAGCCTTCATAATCTAACTAGTAATGTTAATAAAATGCTAACTAATTCTCCTCCAATCCCTGAAGATGCTATGAACAGCAATGTAGAAATCTTAGCCTGTGCTAATTATGTATCGAATATTTTATCCACATTTGGAATTAATTTAAATCCAAAATCCCATACAACTAAACAAGAAAATAATTTTGAAGACTTATTGGAAACTTTAATCAATTTCCGGCAAAGTGTAAGAAGTACGGCCTTAGAACAAAAAGACATTGCATATTTAAAATTTTGTGATGAAGTTAGAAATAATTTAGCACAGCTTGGCATTGTCTTAAAAGATTATGGAAAGAAGACATCTGTATCGAAGTAAGTTTATTTAATTTAAATATAGGTATATATATATATCTAATATTTTTGTTGTTATTTTATTTTCAAAGACTGTTGCTTTGTAAGTGCGGTAATTTTACCCTAAAGCCTGTTTTTGTTTTTTTTTACTGCTATAACTAATTCCACAATTACACTGTAATAAATCAATTGTAAAATAGTCGTGTACTTTTTGTAAGTTAATTTAGTTTTTAATCGAAAATGATTTCATAATTTCATTTTAATAAGAAAAACTTATAGTTGAAGCATAAAATTTGATATTAGAAAGGATTCACCTTTACACTTTTTTTTTGATAAATTCAGTAATAAAGTATAATTTTCTTTTGTTCAAAGGTGTAAAATAGTTTTTGCTATAAACATAATTATTTTATAATTTTCAATAGTAGTATTATATTCAAAAAACAATTAATAAACCCCAAAAGAATGAAAAACAATTTTGAGAGGAGAAAACGAATACCGTATTTGTTCACAGATACACAAATTTTCACATTTGTAACGTAGTTGGGTTCAAGAGACACTTTAAAATGGTGAAAACTTTGTCTGTGGTAAAAACAGTTAGGTTAAGAATGATTAAAGTTTTTGAAAATAATTTTATTTAGAAATTTTTATTAGTTTAATGTTCCATGTGCTATAAAGATCTCTTGTATTTATTGAAATCGTAAGAAAAATGGTATATGTCTTTTCTAAATAGAACCTAATGAGAAATTGTAATTTCAGAAACACTAAATTCTATCCTTTAAAAATATAACTATTTAAGAGAATAGGAACAAAACTTCAGAATGGCCTTTGATAAGAATACGTCGCATTTATGTCCAATTGCAAAAGATGCTACATTATTAGGGCAAAATTTAACTCAATCAACAAGTATGTCCATACCCCTATTGCCATATCCATCTGATCTATTTGAAGAGTTTCTGCATAAATATACGCCATCAGAATGGCATAAAAAAATTAGTTATCTTGATAAAAACTATATCTATTTTCAAATGCACCCAGAATCTGAAGAATATAAGAGAATTAAAGATGAATTTCAGTACAGTTGTAAATGTAGTCAACTAAAACTAAAAAAAATTGAGCGCGTTCAGCATCCATTTGCCTATTTCAGTTTTCTTATAAGATGTCAACAAATTCGTGAAATGTGTAAATGTGAACCAGAGGTTTTATTAATCTGTTTCAAAATTATTCTTTTATTTTTAATTATTTACTTGTTTAGGTAGAAAGAATATTTATTCCATTAAAAAGGAATTTATTTGATGATGAATTGATATCATACAATGGCGATTTTAGAAGAATTAAAGAAAATAGAGAAACTAAAAGGGGCTATGTTGTTGTTGTAATGAAAATATTAAGAGATTACAAATGCAGTTCGTTCCCAATTATTTATGAGGAAGTAAGGGATCATGAAAAATATCCGGAGTACCTGATAACATTAGGTAAATATATTTTTGTAGTTTTTCAATATTTTTCTTACATTAAAAATAAAAAACAGTTAAAGCATTAAAAGTTATTCAGAAATTAATAGTCAATTAGTGGTTTTTAGATATAAATATGTATTTCTAGTTCAATTTTTTTTTATTTTTGAACTTAACTTTAATAATAATTATCAATATATAAAAAGTGTCTCTTTGTGGACCATCACATTAAAAAAAATTATGGAACATTGTCTGCCATGGTTTTATCCTTGGACTTTCCCCGGACTTTTTAATATTTTTAAAACGAAATTTTCATAGTTTGTTGTTCAGAATATTTGTTTACAGAGTCATATGGTTTATCAACAGCCCCAAATAATTATTTTATTTTTTTAAAAAGATCAACTTATAAACGAATGAGTTGGAACTTGTGAACTGTGGTATTTGCATATTCAATTAATATTTATTTTTAGAAATGGATGGAAGTAATGTAACTGGTATTGATGATACAATAGATGTAGAAAATTACTTTTCCGGCTCTACTAATAATTTGGGTTCAAGTCTTTGCATCTCTAAATATTTAGAAGACTTTTACGAGTTATTTGATGTTTTCACGGACACCAAAGGTGAATTACTTTTAAATTCTTTCAAATACCCAATTCAACATTATCTTTTTCATGTGACTTCAGATTGTAAATGTTCAAAATGTATATTATCGTGTTTTCCTAATCATGATCCTAAAATGCCTTTACCTTTTATATGTACAGAAAACAGTTTGAAATTTTGGAATATTATATTAAATTATTGACATACAAATAATATTTTTTATTAAANTAAATATGGGCGAATTCTATGAAATATAACTAAAAAGTAAAATATTTTGTTTTGGAAACCGTTTGTTAATTTTTTGGGGATCAGTAAGTTCCAGTAGTGGTAATTCGTATATCAACAGGAAAAACGGAAACATGCATGGCTGTAGGGGATGTATAGCCTTATAAAACCTGTTTAAAAACCTTTGTCTATGAGATTGTTGTAATGTATTTAAAGTGTGGCTGAAGTTGGGCAATGCCCTAATGACACTAGTCAAGGTTATAACCGTCAAAAAATTGAACTGTTGCGCGTGTTTGCGCTAATTGCAGCAGAACGGAGCAACATCAGCAGCAGCACAGTTCTGCAGTGTTTGTCAACAACGTTATTCATTAAATAATGTTCGACGTTTAATTATTTATCATTTAAATTTCAGTTAATTGCGACATCGACTTTGAAAATAGTATGGCATCAGAATCAGGTGCTCATATTATCCACCGATGCAATTCGGAAGGATCCGAAAATTCGAAAAAAATATTGATTAACCTGTTTCCAAAACAAGCAGACTGCTCTTATGTTTCTTGTTATTGGTAAGTTAAAATAAGTTTGTCTTTAACCAATAATTTACTTTTTTTAATTTAACTTATTTGTCACTGATAAAAATTTTGATGTGACTGATCATATTTCCTTTATGTAATATTGCCTAGTAATTAATAAGTAAAAGAAGTTTTTATTTACTTCCTATTTCAATTTGATATTTTAATTAATTTTATTTATTGTTAAGGTAATCAGATTTATTGAATATATCTCAAAGTTTCAAAAAGTCTATAAATCGAAAGTGTAATGGTCTATGTCTATGGTTAATTCCCTTGTCAAAAACTCTCTTGTTCTCTATTCTCTCGTCTATGGTTGTCAGTTTGTGAGAAGTCGTAATTGCTTATCATTCTCGAATTTGTTTGAAGAAATTAAAATATTTTATATTAAAACCAAAATGAGTTCTGTTCGCGTTGTAAACGATGAATCACATTTTCAAACTGAATTAGCTAATGCAGGAACTAGACTAGTAATCGTAGATTTTACAGCAAGTTGGTGAGTAATCTAACCTCATAAACTCGAATTTAATTAGTTTACTTTCTTAAATTAAAGCCACATTAAAGATAAATCTTAAATTTATTTTAAGGTGTGGACCATGCCAAAGGATAGCACCTATTTTTCAGCAATTAGCATCAAAATATGCAAAAGCTCTTTTTCTGAAGGTTGATGTGGACAACTGCCAAGAAACTGCTGCAGCACAAGGCGTTTCAGCAATGCCAACGTTTATGTTTTTTAGAAATCGAGTATGTAATAAAAGTATTAACTACACATTTGTAATTAAATTGCTTAATTTATTCATTTTTGTAGACTAAAATTGATCGCCTTCAAGGGGCTGATTCTGCTGCCTTAGAAACTAAAATTCAGCAATATTATACTGAAGAAGAGGGTGAAGGTGAAGGAATTGGTGGACATGTAACTATAATTATTCTACCATTTTTCTCTAATGCTTTTATGTAATTTTTGTTTCTAGATGGATTTGCAACCATTTATTTTAAAATCAAGTTATGAATGTTTGAATGAAAGCGATGAACATCCCTTTTCTAATTGCTTACAAGCAGGAGACAGTTATTTACAGTCAGACTGTGATGAACAGGTTGATCTTCTACATTTAATACTTATAATACAAATTATATTGATTTGTTTTTTTCAGCTAATTTTATCATTATCGTTTAATCAGTCAGTTAAAATTCATAGTCTCAAAATTAAGGCTCCTAAAGATAAAGGTCCAAAAACATTAAAAATATTTATTAACCAACCTCGTACACTAGACTTTGATATGGCAGACAGTTACACCAGTGTTCAAGATTTAGTGTAAGTGAAAATCGTTTTTCTTTATCTTGCATGCCAACAGTCATGTCTTTTTAGACTTACACCTGAAGATTTAGAAGGAAATCCAATTAATCTTCGTTACGTGAAATTCCAAAATGTTCAAAATTTCCAGTTGTTTGTTAAGGACAATCAATCTGGTGGTGACATTACTCAAATAAATCATTTAGCCATCATTGGATCACCCATCAACACCACAAATATGGGAGATTTCAAAAGAGTTGCAGGAAAAAAGGGTGAAAGTCATTAAATAGTAAAATTTATAAAGAATAATATATTTCTAACCTTTCAAAAATATCAAATTGAATTTTTTGGTTCCATAAAATAAATTCGTCAAAACTGCATAACAGTTAAGAAAATTTTACTTTAAAATGTACATATGAATTTTATTAGTTAAAGATTAATAGCATTTATATAATGTAATGATAAGTATAATTTTCAAAAGTTAATAGCAAACAATAAACTCCAGTTTGTCTGGTTCATTAAAAACTGGGATGTTCTTTTTCAAAAGTAATGTACTATTGTTTTTGCAAAATTTATCAGTTTTATTGTATAACGTAAAAAAAAACAAGATTTTGGGTGTAAAATAGCACATTTTTTACTTAGGAATAATAGTGATATACATATTCACACTTTTCTACAAATTGCATTCATTAACTTCCCGTTTTATGATTCACATGAACTAGTACATGGTTTGTATTACTGTCTGTTTCATTTTCAGTCGTTGTAGTTTTCACTTGTCGTATTTTAGTTGCAGTAAACCCTTCTATTTCAGTTCTATTATCTGTCCTTAAAGACTCAGTTTCTTTTGGTACCATATCTAAATGTTCCTCTTCAAAAAGTTTGCTGATCTCCATCAACCTTGTATGATGTGATTTAACAGGAATATTACTTAGTATCGACGGAAATTGCCTTCCTCTGTTTTCAAAGAGGGATAAGATACCCCAACCATCTGCCTTTTTCTCCTTTAACTGAATTGCCCACAAAGCATTCCGCATTTCCAATCTCAATCGTTCTAATTCTTCTGGGCTCACATTCTTACTAACATTAAGACCTCTTTCCAATGGGTTTACTATGTATAACGAATTGTGCTCAGGTTTGGTAATTGGCGTAGCTTGATTTAAGCAAATAGCTTTTTTGTCGAACTCGAATGTCGAATAATATTCAAAAAATTGTATCAGCAGTGACTCCAAATCCTCATTATTTTCTGCTTTGAATTTAAGTTTTCTGATATCACGTAAAAAAGAACAGTCGGTACCATCTTCTGTAATATATTTGTCGTTTGATCCTTGGGAGAGAGAAACCAATTTAGTTTAACGTTAGCAAATGTGTTAAATATACACAAAGAATAAAATTAGATAAATTACTTTTTTTATACAATGGATATTAAAAAGTCCAAGAAACAATTTTAATTTACCTAATGTAATTACGACTTAGGCAATCATTGTTCAATTTTTCTTTCTTTTTGAAAACATAATTAATTTTATGAAATGAGACACATACCCGCTAGTTTAACTAAAGTATTAAGTGACGGTAAAATAGGTGGAGAATTCTTGGGTTTCTGTAAAAAAGCTAGTACCATTAGAGTTAACGAAAAATTCGTTATCCATCTGCCAGGAAAATTGTTAGTGAGGCCCACTTCTTCAGCCCATTTCCTGACTACAAAAACTAAAGGCCTCACTCTTGCATCAGTAGAACCCCAAATGTGAAGCAAATCTGACATATACACTCCTGACCTGTTGTTTAATTTTAAATAATTTAAATAATGCAATGCAATATATTAATTTTAATCTTACATATTACCCATTGAAAGGTCACATTCTACATCGGTGAGCTGTTGATAATATTTAATAATTGGCACTCTTGCTTGCAATATCTTTCGAACTTGAGAACAGCCAGGCAAAAATAAATGTATGAAATCCCCTATTGTTTCCATATGCCTTTGAGATGTCAATCGTTCTGACGTTCCAGATGCTTTACAATGATAGATTAATCGATTACCATCTGAAATCTAAATTTAAAATAAATAATCATATGGATATAAACATTTTTATCTGTAAATATTTATTACTTTATCCTTAGTCAATCTTAAGACAACATCCAAGTCACAGTTCATTTTACCGAAACCATTAACACAAGAACCAAACGGGAAAGCCACAGCACTTGGAAATATACCAGAAAGTGCTACCTCAATCTGCCTGGCACTTAGAAATCGTAATCTTACTCCCAAGTCATTTAACTTTGTTGATTCATATAAAATTTCAATTTGTTCTGAAATCTAAATACACAAAAATACTGGCTAATAAAATTTCTTACACATGTATAAACAAACAAGTTACAAGAACTTACACTATCACATGCTTGTAATTTACTCCTTAAATTTTCTTCAGATAAAGGACAATTCCCATTTTCAATTGTTAATACCAATTGACTTGTCTGCTTCTTAACTGAATTATTTTTTGAAGCTCTAAACCACAAAAAAGTTGATTCAACAGGAACAATTTGTGAATCTTGAATATGTTCACAGTCCCTTAAAACTTTCATTACAGATGCTTCCTTTTGAAATTCCACCAAAATAAAATGCTATAAATATAAAAGCATAATGAACTATATCTTTAAAAATTTGAATGAAAATTTTACTAGAGGCTCTTTTCCAGCTTTATAATGAAACATTTCTTTAATGGCACCATACTGAGAACAATAAGTCTCTAATTCCTTATAAGACTTTTTAGACTGAACTTGAACTAAAATGCTTTGTTTGGCCTGCTTTTGCCTTGTCTTTATGACTTCAAAAAATGGTACAAAATGTTTGTATTCTTTAGTTTCACCTACAAAATAGACAAATAAAGAATAAGTTACCTTCAAATTGTAATTAGAAAAATTAAGAGAAACTGACCTTCATGTAATAGTCTCTTCAGGAAAGTAATTTTCATACCTTTTATGCCTTCTAAATTAGTCCAATGTGCCCATCTCCGCTTTAACAGAATAAAGTGTATACCATTTGTAATTTTTGTTCCAAAAAATGGAATAAACATTATTTTTTTAATTTAGAGACATTTGTTAGGTTAGGCGTATAAATATTTAAAGGTTAGACAAATTAAATTGTTCTGTCTGGAGTATCTATGGTCTGGAGTCTCATGTCAGATTTTGTCTGCTACAGTCTGCTATTATATTATTTTATCCATATTATAAATCTATGATTATTACTTTTCAACTTATCTATGTTTTAAAACATAGATACGTTTAAACTTATTTAAATTGTTTATCTATGACTTATTTTCAAATATGTAATAATGATGCAATACGTTAATTTCATAGATGTTATTCTGTTGTAAAAAATATTATAAGTAGAATAGGTATTTAAAGTCCAAAAGTCGTTATATTTAATAAATTTATCGTTCGTTTGTAATGAATGATTGTAAAACGCCAGCAAATACCAAAAACACATTTAATGCAGAGGACACATTCTCACCTGTTTCTGGCAAGTATCATGCTTATTAAGGAGGTTATACCTATAAAGTGTGTTAATGAAGTAAAATGTTTGTTCTTATTTTAATACTTATAAAAGTTCTGTTTCGATAGTGAAAGGTAGCCCTGCATCTTCTGAGAGGAATTTAACTGGATCACCAAGAGTAGCTAAAGATATAATAGCAGATGTATACAATGCTATTCAACACTGGAATGATCATCATATAAAAGGGGTAAATGTGAACCAGAGGTTTTATTAATCTGTTTCAAAATTATTCTTTTATTTTTAATTATTTACTTGTTTAGGTAGAAAGAATATTTATTCCATTAAAAAGGAATTTATTTGATGATGAATTGATATCATACAATGGCGATTTTAGAAGAATTAAAGAAAATAGAGAAACTAAAAGGGGCTATGTTGTTGTTGTAATGAAAATATTAAGAGATTACAAATGCAGTTCGTTCCCAATTATTTATGAGGAAGTAAGGGATCATGAAAAATATCCGGAGTACCTGATAACATTAGGTAAATATATTTTTGTAGTTTTTCAATATTTTTCTTACATTAAAAATAAAAAACAGTTAAAGCATTAAAAGTTATTCAGAAATTAATAGTCAATTAGTGGTTTTTAGATATAAATATGTATTTCTAGTTCAATTTTTTTTTATTTTTGAACTTAACTTTAATAATAATTATCAATATATAAAAAGTGTCTCTTTGTGGACCATCACATTAAAAAAAATTATGGAACATTGTCTGCCATGGTTTTATCCTTGGACTTTCCCCGGACTTTTTAATATTTTTAAAACGAAATTTTCATAGTTTGTTGTTCAGAATATTTGTTTACAGAGTCAT